AGTGTGGAACTTTTTAGTGAGAAAAGGAATATAATTGGAGAGAAAAGCGTGTACACACATAAACAACAAATAAGTCAAATAATAGTTTCTATGACAATTTATATTTTGTACACCTAATATATAAAATTTCTTAATACATGCATGTATTGTATATTAATCAAATAATCGCCAATTATTTAATCTTTTTCATAATGATTGGGAAAATCTGTTACATAAGTACGGTTACCTATAGCCATCAAAATAGACTTAGCATGTATGTTATCAGCATTATGCAGTTTGTACCCGCCATACGGAAGTGGGGAACATACTTTGATATGTGAAGCTCTAGCACCACAATGATGAGCAATAATAAAATCATTGCTCTCAATATTTAAGTCACGAGTCAGAATAAAAATAGATTTTTCCTGAGTATGTCTATCATTCAATATCAAAATTCTTTCAATGATTGCATACCTTCCGTCACTAAGTCTAACAATTGAATCGTTTGACTTTTCTCCCTGTCTTGCGTAGCATTTAGCGTGGTACTTAATACTATCTTTGATCATTCTTTCGTATGTGTTGTTTGTTGGTTCATACCCGGCATATTGAAATGCATAACGCTCTTCTTCTGATAACATTACATATTTGTATGCTCCGAAGACAGTGATTGAGTTTACTTTGTGAGCATCTCTTACAACTCGGTAACACATCAAATCTGTACAGTAAGAAAGCACGTTTTCACTAACATTATATGACTGTACGATGTTTGGTAGTATTCTGCACATTGAATATTTCTCAGCAATCTGGGTTGCTGTTCCTCTTACTCCCTTTACAAGTTTCATCAAGCAACCGTTTCCGGTTTCAAAGGAAAATGCAGAATAACACCACCATGGTCCCATCAATTTTACCATTTTTCCCATGTGCAGAAGCAAATGAGTATTGAAATACATGAATGACGGTCCATATAATTTCATAAATTCGAGAACATACTCTACAAGGAACCAGGTTGCCTTCTGTAAGTCATCATTGCTAACATTTTCACTTAACAAAATATAGGATGCTGATACTAATAAACAATGATGTTTTAAGTACTGTACTGGAAGAATGTCTGTCAAGCATGGTAAACTATAGTAGAGCAACCAAGATCGCCATTCATTTGCCTTCCAATGAGTACGATCAGTAATACTCCTTGGTCGCCTAGATATTGATGAAGGAGGATGTATATTGAGGAGTCTTTTATCAATTCTAGCCTCTTTATCTTTTAAAGAAAATGGTTGAATAGTAGTGAATCAAACCATAGACAAGTCAAAGTCTTCACAACACCAAGTAACACTCCATGCATGTAGTCAATTGCAAATCCAAAAACCAGATTAAAGAAGTTAAGAACCCAGAAAACATTTTTTCCTTTTATTCCTTTGTAATCATTTACACCTCCTCCCGGACGTAGTTTTCCCTCTCTTTTTAAATTCTCTGCCAACTCCATTTCCTTTCTACATTTTTTGTCATTTTTATCAGTAACTTGGAAAACTTTCTTTTCCTTGGAAACACGGTCTATTCCATTTACTGTATAGGAAAGACTAAGATCATCCATTATATAAACATCGTTATTCATAGGGTATTTCACATGCGTGCTCCCTTCTTCTACTATAACTCCAGGATGATAGCAATAACCACAACCAAAGTATCCGTTGAATTGTTTCATGTTTTGTACAATTGGCTTTGCCTTAGAATCTAACACACCAGCAAATAATACAATTTTGCTGTTTATCAGTTCTCCTGACGGTGCTTTCCAGTCTATGCCTTCATTGTACAAAATTTTCGCTTCTTTTACAAATGCAGAGAGGAAAAGTGTCATATCGGGCTCATTTCTACCGAACCAAAGACCTGCCAGCATGGAGTTGGTTTGATCAAAACGACAAGAAGGGGGAAGCTCATTTAAGCGAAAATGGATAGGCCACAAAGTATTCTTACTATCAGAATATATAACTGCTCCATCTGTTGAAAACGATAAGCTCAAACTGTAACGACTTGACAGCACTCCATCATTAACTAGTTCTTTGTAAATTAATCCATCAAAAATGTCACTAATGATAGAATCCTCTGTGTTTCGGTTCCATCTGTATTGAATAAGTTCCAAGATTTCATTTGTGTTTTCAAGGAAAAAGATAAGTTGATGTTTCACAGGCAATGTTACAAAAAAGTTACCGTCATTCATATTTTCAGTACTACTTTCTCTACTACAAATAGGGCACTGCAGTAGACTTATATGGTTCTTTTCACTTTTCGGCACTTCTTTAATAAAACAGTTACAATCAGGACAAAAGAAGTTAAAAGAATAGTTAATACTGCCGAATACTTGTCGAAACATGTACTTTGTAGTTGGTATAAATTGATTATTCAACAAGCAATTTACAAGTTTACATAAATCCTCTGTGGCTATGGCTGTCAAACTGTGCCGAAAAGAAAAGTTCCAAACAAGCAACATAATCTCGAACTTGGTTCTTCTTGCATTTAAGAAAACTTCCTCTTCAAGGTGCAGAAATTTCTGTCCTCCAATAATAAATTTCGTCTCATTGTCAATTAGATCATCAGGATTATCAGGAGTACCAGAACTGTGTCTTTCCTCCATTGAATCATTGGTGCTTTTTATAGAAATACTGCCAGAATAACTCTAAAATTAAAGAAACCAAGAGAGAATGAAGTTGACAAA